CTTAAGGCAATGAGATTAGTTTCTTGATGTCAGGTCTCTGATTCAGCGCCCACTCAAGGGCAGTGATTTCAGTTTGGGAGGATCTGTTCTGTGTGAGTTGGAGCCTACTCAAGATAATGAATTTACTCTCTTGGTGTCAGGTCTCTGTGAGTCAGAGGCGATTAGAGGGCAGTAAGTTCGCTTTCTTGGAGTTAGGTCTCTGTGATTTGGAGCTGACTTGATGTCAGTGAGTTTGGTTTCTTGAGGTCAGGTTTCTGTGAATCAAAACAGACACGAGGACAGTGAATTTAATTGGGGGGGGGGTGTCAGGTGTCTGTGAGTTTGGCTGTCATGCACAGTGAGTTTTGTTTCTTTGGGTCAGGTCTGTGTGAGACAGATCTGACTCAAGGACAGTGAGTTTGGTTTCCCAGGGTTAGGTTTCTGTGATTCTGAGCCAACTCGAGGGCAGGGAGTTTATTTTTGAGGGGTCAGGTCTCTGCAAGTTGAAGCTAAATCAAAGTTAGTGAGTTTTGTTTCTTGGGGTTAGGTCTGTCTGTGTTGCAGCCAACTGGAGGACAGTAAGTTCAGTTATTTGGGGTCTGGTCTCTGTGAATTGTAACCAACTCCAGGGAGGAAGTTCAGTTTTGGGGTGTGTGGCCTCTGTACCTTTGAGCGTACTCGAGGACAGTGAGTTTGGTTTTGGGTGTTCAGGTGTCTGTGGATTAGGGCAGACTTGAGGAGAGTGAGTTTGGTTTCTTGGGGTCAGGTCATGTGAGTCACAGCCAACTCAAGGGCAGTGAATTTAGTCCTATTGCATCAGGTGTCTATCAGTCGGAGCTTACTCAGGGCAGTGTGTTTGACTTTTAGTTTCAGGTCTCTGTGAGTCGGCGCTATCTCGAGAGCTGTGAGTTTTGTTTCCTGGACTCAGGTCTCTGTGAGTCAGAGAAGATTCCCTGGAGGTGATTTTAGCCTTAGCGTCAAGCCTCTGTGAGTTGGTGTTCACTCCAGGGCAGTGAGTTTGGTTTTTAGGGTCAGTTCTCTGTTGGAGTTAACCGGAAGGCAGTGAAGTTATTTTCTGGGGGTTACATCTCTATAAGTTGCGGATGACTCTAGGGCAGCGGGGTTAGTCTTGGGGTCAGATCTCTGAATTGGAGCCAACTCAAGCACAGTGAGTTTGGTTTTTCGGGTCAGGTCTCTGTGAGTCAGAGTTGATGGGAGGGCAGTGAGTTTGGTTCTTGGGGTCAGATCTCTATGAATCAGAGCCGACTCGAGGGCACTGAGTTTGGATATTGGGGGTCAAGTGTCTGTGAGTAGGTGTTCAGTCATGGGCAGTGAGTTTAGTGTCTTTGGGGTCAGGTCAGTTGGAGCCAACTTTCAGGAAGTGAGTTTGTTTTTTGGGGTCAGGGATCTCTGAGTCAAAGCTGACACGAGGACAGTGAGTTTGGTTCTTGGGGTCAGGTCTCTGCGAGTCGGAGCCAACTCTAGGCCTGTGAGTTTAGTTGGGGATGGAGAGGTCTCAGTGAATTGGTGCTGAGTAGTGGGGCAATGAGTTTGGTTTCTTGGGCTTAGATCTCTGTGACATGGAGCCATCTTGAGGCCAGGGAGTTTAGTTTCTTCAGGTCAGGTCTCTGGAAGTTGAAGCCGAATTGAAAGCAGTGATGTTAGTTTCTTGGGGTCAGGTCTCTGTGAGTTGGAGGCAACTTTGGGGCAATTCATCTTCAGCCTCGCATCTCTGTGGGTCTGAACTGAAGTGAGGGCCATGAGTTTGGTTCTTGGGGTCCAGTCCCCGTGAGCTGGACCTGACATGAGGGTAGTGCATTTGGTTTCTTGGGGTCAGGTGTTTATGACACAGAGTAGACTCCAGGGCAGTGAGTTTAGATTTTTAGGGTCAAGTCTGTGTGAGTGGGAGTTAACTTAAGGGCAGTGAGTTTAGTTTCTTGGGGTCACGTCTCTGTGAGTCAGAGCAGATTGAGGGCAGTGAATTTGGTTTCTTGGGATTGGGTCTTTGTGTGTCAGTGCCGACTCCAGAACAGTGAGTTTGGTTTCTTAGGGTCAGGTCTCTGTGAGTCAGTGCTGACTTGAGGACTGTTTAGGTTTCTTAGGATCAGGTTTCTGTGATTTGGAGCTGACTCCAGTGTGATGAGTTTGGGTCTTGGGGGTCATGTCTCTGAGACTCAGAGCTGACTCCAAGGCAGTGTGTTTAGTTTCCTGGTGTCACATCTCTGTGTATGAGAGCTGACTCAAGGGCAGTGAGTTTGCTTTCCTGTGGTCAGGGCTCGTTGGGTGGGAACTGACTGGAGGGGAGTGAATTTTATTTCTTGGGGTCAGTTCTCTATGAGTCAGAGTGGACTCGCTGGCACTGAATTTACTTTCTTGGGGTCTTGTTTGTGTTAGTTGGTGCCCCAGGCACGACCTTGCTTGCATCACCATTATTCTGGAGTGGGGATTGGCAGACCCTGTTGTTCCAGAGGAGACCTATGGTAAAATTTTTATAACTCAGTAGAATATAACAAGGTTTATTTTCTTCATTCTAGAAATATACTAATTGAGTAAAAGGTGAAAGTCATCAACCATTAATCTCCTGATAATTAACTGTAAGCAATACTGTGGTAAAAATTGTATAATCTGAACCATTGATACTTTTCAGCTGATTTGAAATATACATCCTTTTGTATAGTTCATGATGCCAAAGTGGACCAAAATGAAGGGAAATATCTTTGTCTATAAAACTTACAAAATCAGATGTTGGACAGGGCAAGATATGACAAAATACCCATTTATAAACTATCAAGGGCTCATGCGGGAGCGGGGGAGCGGGGAGGGAGGGGGAAAATGAGGACCTAATGTCGGGGTTACCCCAATAGGGAACAAAACCTACATTGGGGGTCCGTGAATCCCTCCTCTTCCATCAGTATGTCACTGAGGCTGCTGGTATTCCCATCTTCCTGTGCAGTACACATGCGAGGGTTTGCTTTGAGTGTGTTGTGTGCTTCATAGAGTTCTGACGTCAGACAGGGCTTCCTGATCTGTGTTACAGGCAGAAGCTTATTCAGGAATTCTCGCAGCAGTTTCTGAGACTGTCTCAGCAGTTGCACTTGGATCTGAAGACTACCAAGGAAGAAGCGGCAAAACTAGAGGGGGTATCCTTCTTAGGGTTACACATAATAGCCAAGTCTCAAGTAAGAATGAATGCAGAGAGTGCCCATAGGCTTGTCGTAGATACTGAGGACTCACACTCTCTGTGGTCTATCTCAATGAGGGTCTTTTTCCCTTTCAAAGGCACTCAGCTTTACTGAATGTGATGTCCTTTTCCAGGGATTGGGCTAAGCCACAACATTTTTTTTTTTTTTTGCTGCTGCTGCTGCTTCCCCCCCAATGAGCACTGTCCCCACGGCCACAGCAAAATACCAAATGAGTGATTTAAGTCATGAAGGGTGCTACCCCATGTGTCTCCATGTGCTCTGTAGAGTTTTCATTTCCCGGGTGTTGGTTTTGGTTTTTTGGTTTGTTTTTTTTTTTGCTAGGTTTTGTGTATGTCCAAGTGTTTGTTCCTGGGCACATCTGGTGGACTTTCGGTTTGCAGCTAAGCACGTTAGTATGGATTCCCTGGTCTCCATAGGTGGAGGATATCCTGCATGGGTTGGGTTCCTGATCCAGGAGACTGAAATGTGCTAATGTAGAAAAGGGAAACATTGAAAGAATTCCAGGAGACTGTGGCTTAGAACCCAGCTGGATGGGGGTGGGCACAGGTGACTCAGGCAGTGCCTTCGTGACCCTGTCTCCATCCCTTAGTGCTCTCTGTGTGTGTGGGAAGCCGGGCAGCCCCTTGCCAGCTTAGCCATGGAAGCAGTGGAGCAGCCCCAGAGGATGAAGGCAGCCCTGTCAACTGCCCTCTGGAAAGGTCTCTGTGCTCTGGCTTGGACTGTGTGCCCCTGTCTGAATCAGTCCCGGTGTTTAGGGCACGATTTGCGCTGAATGGAAAGATCTGGGTCCTCTGCCCGTCCTTAGGGGGATGGAAGTTGTTTCAGCCCCACCACATACCAGATGGCCCAAACCTCCACGAATTCTCTGCTCTTTCATTCCTGAATTGTTAGTTATTGTTTCACACATTCCTGAACCTGGAGAGCAAAGCTATGACTCACATTATGAAAAATAAATTGGGACTGTTTATTCAGCTCAGTTTTGGAAATAAGTCGAGGTGCTTGTGAAATATCCAAAGAGACATATTGAGTGGTCTTCTGGATATGTGAGTTGCATTAAACAGAGCGGGATAAAAACTGGAGAATGATCGGCATTGTGATAGCATTTCATTCATGACCCTGAATGAACTCACCAGCAGAGTGATAGTGAAAGGTCAAAGAGACGGGTAGGGACTGAGCCCTGCCGCCATTGCCATCAAGGCAATGCCACCTCACAGCAACCCTATGGGGCTGACGACTCATTTAGGTGTCCTAGGCTATAGAAAGCCTCATGGCCACAGAAAGCTTCATCTTTCTCCCACAACCCTGCCAGTTGGGACAGAGAGTATTGGAAGGACGATGCTGATAAATGTGGAGCTGGACAAGTGGGTGTTCTCTTTGGGGAGCTTTTATTTGATGATTTAAGTGAGGTAAAGATTTAAGTGTTAGGATCCACCCTGATGCCAACCCACTGCCCTCGAGTCTGTTTCCTCTCAGAGAGACTGCCCAGCACTCCATGGATGCTAATCTTGACAGGAGCCCATGGACTCCCATCTCCCAAGAAAAGGCTGGTGAATTTGAACCACTGAACTTTGTGGTTAGCAGTCCATCCCTTCTCTCACAGTGTCCCCAGGTCTAAATCCAGAGGAGGAGAGCTTGCCTTGCAGCACTGGAGAGCAGGCCTGAAAGGGTTTTCTCAGAGGGGGCCTGGGCCTGGGGGGAGAAATACCATTGCTAAGGTTAAAAGAATTTATTTTAATGCCATTCCTTTTTCATTTAAATACATTGAAGTTTGGTAAATGCTGCCTAATGTATTGCCGCATTTGTGTTATATATTTCCAGATCATCTTTCCACAGCACCAAAAACTTCTGAAACAAGCCATGAGTCTTCAGAAGTCCACACAGAAAGCAATTGAAAAGCTTTTTCAGCAGTTCCTAAAGGTCCGTTGTATTCCATAGCAGTGTCCATCTGCTGCCTTAATACTAAACCTATACCATGTCTGATGAGAGTACACGGGAACAAATGAAGGGGGAGGAAGAGAGAGTGGAGCACATCCTGGCCCACCAGGCCTGGAGGACGATATCTCCCCTCTGAATAGCCAATGCACAGAGTGGACCAGATGGCTGATCCCACTACGAGACATGCCGTCCCTTGCTTGACCCAAGGCCCTAAGGAGGACAACACTGGAGACTCAGTGTCGGGACTGGCCCGGACTGACCCTGTGACACTGAGGCAAACCACTAAAGGTGTACAACACTGTAACCGTAGGAGCAGAGCAGGGAGCCCCCAAGGGAGTACAAAGGACAGACTCTGGGGCCTGAACATGGCACCCCATCGGACTTGACTGAAGGACACGCCTAGAGATCAAAATTCAGACCTTGATCTATTTACAGGTTTTTCTTTCTTTAAACATTTTTTCCCTTTTAATTAATTTATTCTTTTATGGGTCATTGGTTTTCTTTTTTGTTGTCATTGCTGTGTTCTCATTTGTTGCCTATCTTGATATGGCTTGATATTCGGTGTATATTATTATCTCTACAGATCTATCTAGATAAGATAGTCTGGATGAACAGTCTGGAGGAGAAAACAACAGGACCAATGGATCCGGGTGGACACGGGAGAGGGGGAGGCGGGGGTAAGGAGGTGATACTAACCAACCCAGGGACAGGGGAGCAACAAGTGATCCAAAATTAATTGCAAGGAGAGTTTGAGAGACCTGGTAGGGATTCAGCAAGGCAATGTAACCAAGAGAAATTACTGAAACCCAAATGAAGGCTGAGTATGATACTGGGACAAGAGGAAAGTAAAAGGAAATAGAGGAAAGAAGTAGGTGACAAAGGGTATTTATAGAGGTCCAAATACTGGCATGTACATATGTAACTATATTTAGATAGGAGGATGGGGAAATAGATCTACGTGTATATATTTAGAGTACATTCTTGTAAGACAGAGTTGTCTGTGGTAGTAGGAGGGATTTCTTTTAATTCGTATGAGAAAACATTTTCTTTATGCATCTTAAGTTCTTGCCAATTTTCCATGTTTAATTGTTCCTGGTGTCACCTAAGTGTTAAATGCAAAACCCTCAGATAAAATAACCCCGGGCTTAGGGGGTCACTGCCCACTTTCCTTCGTGACTCCACCGCTCAGAATTGCCTCCACATCAGTGAATTCTCTCCAGATGAACTGCTCTCTCATATCTCACTCTCCAAGCTTGTCCACGCTGTGCCTATGCTCTTCCTGTAGAAGACTCTGAGCTGTCTCTCCACCTGTAAAACTCTTCGTGTTTGTTGACTCTGTCACAACCAATGTCACTTTCCTCTACCTGGCTACTGCAAGGTGAGGTTCCATGCCTATTGGAAAATGGTTCTGTGGTTGTTGCTAATGTGCTTTTTCTTCTGATTGGATGAAGGATGAGCGAGTAGGTTACACATGTTACAATTGTCGCCTGCACAGTGCGTGACACGGTGCTCTTTACGTAGCAGGGACAGGATCACCATCTGCTGAAAGAAAGGCAACATTTTGAAACAAAAGGCTTATTTTTCACAACATGAAGAGGTTATGTCAATGATCACTTTGTTCCTGCCAGAAAATTAGGGTAAATGGACTGTTGGTCACAATAAGCAGGTGACAATGTGGGTTTGAGGGGTCTACTGTTCCCTTGAGCATTACATAATGCCCCTCATTGTCTCTCGTTATGGCTTGTAGCATGAGATCAATTTTGTCAGAGATTAAGATTGCTACTGCTGCTTTTTATTCAATTGCCATTTGCTTGGCATATTTTTCTCCAGCCTTTAATTCTCCGCCTGTTTTTGTCTGTAAGCTTGAGATGTGACTCCTGTAGACAACAGATCGATGGATTATGTTTTCTAAGCCAGTCTGCTAGCCTCTGCCTTTTAATGCCTGAGTTCAGTCCATTGATATTCAGTGTTATTACATCCATCTCTGGACTCTGTGGTGTCATCTTGTACCTTTTGTGTTGGGTATTTTCCTACCTACCTATCTTATAAGTTTGTGTTGTGTGTGTGTCTAGTTCATTCTTGCCTTCTTTCCACTTTTGAGCTAATGCAATCTTAGAGGCTGTTTTCTCTTTGTCCTCCTCTGGGTGGAGTTGTTCTATGTTATGGTCTCTTATTTGTGCTTGGCAAGTGTTTTTGTTCTGCCCATACTGGGTTGGCAAGGATCTTTTGTAGGGCTGCGTTTCTTTTTACGTGTTCTTTGAGTTTTTCCTTGACTGGGAAGACTCTTACTTCTCCATCTATCTTAATAGATAATTTGGCCTGGTATAGTATTCTTGAGTTTGTATTATTTTCCTTCCATTTTTTTGAATATGTTACTCCACTCCCTCCTCTTCTTCATCGTGTCCACTGATAAGTCTGAAAAAATTCTTATTTGGGTACCTTTATAAATGGCTATTTGTTTTTCCCTAGCTGCTCTTATGATTTTCTCCTTTTCCTCATGGTTGGATAATCTGACTCTTATCTGTCTTGGTGACTTCTTGGGATTCAGTCTGGCTGGTGTTCTTTTAGCATCCTGAATGCCTGATTTTCATCTTTTTTAAGCTGGGGAAGTTTTCCAATAAGAATTCTCTCACTATTTTTGCTGTTGATTTTTTGTTGTGTCTTGTTTTAGTAGTCCAATTATTGTAATATTGTTCCTATTCATATCATCAGACATGGTTCTCAGATTTTCTTCAGCTCCTATGATTGTCTTATTTTGCTGAAGTCTGCCTTGTTATCCTCTAGGTCACTAGTGTGATTCTCTCTCTCTCTCTCTCTCTCTCTCTCTCTCTCTCTCTCTCTCCTCTCAAGTCTGTTGGCAAAATCTTTTAATTTGCTACTGAATTTTTTAAATCTTATCTCTTAGGTCTTTAGTGTGTTGCCTTTATTTCCTCTATCATTTCATCCTATTTTGTATTGCTTTCCTCATATCCTATATGACTCCAAGCAGCATTCTGAATATTTCTTCCTGTGGCAGGTCAATGTCGGCTTCTTCAATGCATGTCGTTAGGTTCATTTCTACTTAGGCATTGTCTTCTGTTTCTCTTGCTTTTTAGTTGAGGCTGTTGGGGCTGGTTATGTGTTGTTTTAGAGGAGCTCAGCACCATCTTTCAGAGTTGAAGAGCACTGGGTTCTTTCTCTCTTTTAGGACTCGCGTGAGTGCTTCTTTGAACTATCTTCAGGTAATTTCACTGGGGGTCAGCCTACCGCTATATCTTCCTGTGCTTTCACTCTTACCCTAGCCAACCAGTATTCCATTATTTGAAATGTGAGTTCGTAGTCCTCTCATGTGACGCTGTCCAGGTGGTTGTGAGTCCATGGAGCTGGCATTTCACAGGCTGATCTCCCATGTAGCTGTAGTGGTGTGTCTCACGGGGCTTGGAGTACCTCAGATGGCATGTAGTGTTTGCCTCTGCAATTGGAGCTCCATGGAGGGCCTGATGGTGTACCCTCCTTGGTGCAGAGCACCATTGATGGCATGCAGAATTACCCTAGTCAGAGAGATCTCCATGGAGGTTGGGCATATGTTCCTACAGCAGTGTGGATCACCACAGATGGAGGGTAGGGGTTCCCCCAGTCACTTTTAAGATCTTAGGGTACAGGCAGGAGTTCCCCCAGCTGTTTTAAGGGGAGACCCACCACACAGATGTTTGGGTTGTAGTGGAGGGTGGACGTGATTTCCCCAGCTGCATGTAAAGCCAACAAGTGCTGGCAGGACCTCCCCCAACTGGGTTGTCAGAGTTGTCCTAGGTGGAAGATAGTGACCTGAAGGACGGTATTGGCTTGGGAAAGGAAAGAGAGCATGACGAGATGAAAATGAAAGAAAGGAGCAAACAAAGACAAGAGCAAAAATTTAAAAATCCAAACACACACACACAAAAGCAAAGACGAAACAAAAACAAGGAGACAAAAAAAGGAAACAACACAAAAGAAAAACTGAGCCTCCTAAGACAGTGGCGGAAAGAAAGATGAGATAGAATAAGAGGAAAAATGAAGAAAAAGGGAAAGAAGAAGGAAAGAAAGAACAAAAAGATACCTATTTATGTAGCACTGCCATGGGGGAGGGGGGAGCAGGCTGTAGCTCTCCCCACTGGGTGGGCGGAGTTGCCCTAGGCAGAGGGTAGAGAGCTGAAGCCAGCAGTGGCATGTGGAATGAAGAGAGGGAGAGGAGAGAAACAGAAAAGAAAAAGGAGAGAAGAAGAAAAAAAGGAAAGGAAAAAAGACAAAAAACCCACAGCTGTGTTCGATGAGACTGGCTATCGTGGGTTTAAATCCTGCCCCAAGGTGGTGGGTTGGTGTGCCCTTTGGCGCAGGGTTCCATGGGTGCTGGGCAGAATTGCCCTAGTTGGCAAGATCACTGTGGAGGCCATATGGAGGTTTCCTCAGCAGCATGGGGTACTGTAGAGGGCTGTTGCAGCTGCCTTGTGTCATGTACAGTGCTCCCACAGAGGTCAGGCTGGAGTTCCCCCTGCTGTTTGGGCAGAGTTGCCCTAATCAAAGTGTAGTGGCCCGGAAATCAGCAGTGGTGTGTGAAAAGAAAGAGAAGGAGAGAAGAAGAAGAAAGAGAAAAACAAAAGAAAAAGCTCACTGAGACAGACTGCGGTGGGAAAGAGAGGAGAGAGAAGAAAAAGAATATAATGTAAGGAGATAGCTGAGCTCTGATCACTTGACTGTGGGGCTGGAGGAGTTCAAACCCTGCCTCAAGGTAGCAGGGTGGTGTGCTGCTTCGTGTGGACTCCCAGAGATCCTGGGTGGAATTACTCTCTTAGACAAGATCACAGCAGAGGCCAGGCAGCGGTTCCCACAGCAGTGATGAGCACTAGAGATCACGGTATAGCTGCCTTAGAAAATGGTATTTTCAATGAACTCATTTGCACGTGAAAGTTGACCATTAATAAATAATAGTAAATTGAATAATAATAAAGAAGACAAATGAAAAATCAATGCATTTGAATTATAGTGCTTGCGAAAAATATTGTGCCATGGGAGGGGAGGGGACCAGTACACCCACTTGCTATGTGCTGG